TTCTTGAGTGGTGGCACAATGTAGGAATGCTTTATCAATCTCATAATATGTTATTAAAGAAAGCGGTTTTTGGGTTTTAAAAATATCACTTAATGTTGTTTCAAAGATATGTATCACAGCATTGTTTCCTGATAAATTGCTTATATTTTGAAAGTATTAAAGAATTAAAGTTGGTAAATTTAAAATAAATTTAAATAAATAAAAAAAAAACTCTCAGCATAAAATAGAACGAAAACATGTAAGTACAAGACAGAACATGAGAAATCGAAATTCAGATCTGCTTTGGGTCAAAATTTGTAGTGAAAAAAAAAGCAAGATCGTTATTTTAACCCCTTCCTTCTAGCTCCCGTGAAAATGACGGGTGAGATTTCGCCCGCTATTTTTCGCTCCCGTGATATTGACGGGCTGCAGTGTTAAGTAGTAACGTGCCAATAAGAAAAAAACTAATTTATTTCTTTTGTCCGGAAAACATTTTATTTCTCATCTTACACACCTGATGGCAGTACCTGGATATTTTTAAGGTAATTGTAGATAGTTTATTTCAAACTAGTTGCAGCACTAATCAAATACGTAATACAAATACAAAAGCCAAAAAAATAGGCACTTTTATGACCGTTTTCTTGAAAATTAACCGATCGTTAAGGGGTTAATATATTATTTATATAAATACTCTTAGTTAAGAATACAACTGGCATAAAAATAATGTCACATTTTCTCCTAAAATATTTATGTAACATCAATACAAATTGAATAAAGGTGAAAAAATTTAATTTTACATTTTTCAAGTACATTTTTTGTATAAAAATGATTTTAACTAATAAAAATACTCAAAATTTATTTAAAATACTATTTGTATTTATTATTTTATTTAAAGTTGCATATGTAAACAAGCATACTGTTATATTTTACAATTAGGTTCCTATATGCTAATAGAAAAGAAAAATTTTTTTATTCTTAATTTATTTTTAAATAGTTATTACTATTACTAATGGTTATTAACTATTTTTTCATGCATTAACGTAACCCATTTGCATTTTTATTCCTTTCAACAATTTTATTATTCATAAATATTTTTTTAATCGAAAAATATATTGCCTTAAATATTTCATAGTCATGTTAACATAACTATGAAACAAAAGTTAAATTTTTGTTTATTGAATATATTAATACTTGAAAAAAGGTTCATGTGAAATATTTTTTAATGGTTTAGTTACTTTTAACTGCTGCCTAAAATATAATTTTAACTTTTATTTTAAATTAATCAAAAAATTCAATTTAAATGGAAAAAACCAAGTTGCTTGATTTAACAAAAACATTTTTTTTTTCAATCTTAATCTTCGTTATATTTATTAATGCATTTTGTTACATTTACATCCCTATCATGATTACATCTAAAACTCAAAAACGATACCTTAAAATGAATATACTCATTTTTAATAAAATGTAAAGCAAAGCAAATAGAATCAATAGTGCTGCCATCTATATGTGAATACCAAAGATAGAATAATAAGCACATGTAGTTTTCCAACATAAAAGTTCAAAATATAAATATTTCATAAAATTAGATATTGTAACTATTATTATTATATTCCTGATTTAAAAAATAAATATCAAGAAATTTTACTTTATTCATAAAAATTTTAGACTTTGTTTTAGAATAGAAAAGATTTAAAAATTAGTTAATTACATTACATTGCTGACATTTTAAAAATTCTTTGCAATTTAACATATTTTTTTCATGGGTATTTTTTCTATTTAATTACATTGTAAAACTAATTGCATGATAAGAATTAAGAAAAGAAAAATACGCAAAATGTTTAAAAAAAATTGTTTGTACACAAATAATATACTAACACAAATTAAGATAGTAAATAAATTCTTTTAAACATTCTATTCGGTAAATAGATCAGATACTAGTCAATTTTCTTAATAACGACAGAAAATTTAAAGAAAAAAAAAACAGTTCTGCACATAATACTGAAAATAAAACTTTTTGAACTTTAAAATCAAAACATTTTAGAAAATAAACTAAAATAAAAAATTTCAATTTCTTCTTTCAGGTGAGAGATAATTAAGAATCTTCCATTTGCTTTTTTTTCTATTATCAGTTGCATTTCCTAATCCAATAAAGACTACACCTCTTTTTTTACAACAAATCGGAACATCTCGTCCTGCACCCTGGAGCCCTAAGTCAAGAAAATTGCCCTCCATGGGCTGCTGCCCAACTGAGTTTAGTTCAAATTTACTTTATTCAAAATTATTACTCTAAAGGAGAGTAAAATCCTTAGATATTATATAAGTTATGAAACATATTTTTCTACATTTAATATAGCAAAAGCTTCATTTTTTTCTTTTTTTTACTGTAGAATGATATTCTATCATAAATTTTTTTTAAACATCATAAAATAAAATAAAAAGGAAAACTTAAATTTAAGATATCGAGAGAAGAATGACTATTTTTTTCTTCCTTTGTATTATTCCTAATTAAACGAAAGAAATTTCACTGTTTTGATTAAAAACAATCCTCTTTATCAATCTTCTAAAACTGTTTATTTTTAATTAATACTGTTAACATCTTTTCTCTTTATTTCACCGAAATATTTTTACAGCATCTTAGTCACTTCATTATTTTTGATCATTTTTCTGTCATCAATCACAAATTAAATTAATTTATCCAATCATTGAATGATTGATGAATGATAGATTGTATCGTTTATTCAGCTACCAATTTTACGCTCAATCAGCTGAAAGTAAGATAAACAAATATTTGATAGATCGAGATACAAAAAAAAGGGAAATAATCTGTTAAAAATAAGGGTTTGATCAAGCGATGAAACATTGCAGAATCCCTAAATCAAATCGAAAGTGAAAACATAAAAGTATACTTTAGATGTTAAATTAAATCAATGACGTTATAATTACAATGATTTGTTAAAACTTTGGGAAAAATTCTTAATTTTTGTTTTATTCAACAGAAAAAAAACGTATTATAGTCAAAAGTTGCGAGAATGAAAATAACTTCAACACAGAAATTATATGTTTAGAGTTAGTGCTTGCCTCTGAAATTTAAGAAAATAAAAATTTATTTACTAAATTATTTATTGCATTTATTTACTTATTTTTTATTATTTTTACTTAATCTTAATACTTAAATAAAAATAAAATGATAAATAATAAAGTGATATACCATAGATATGATATAAAATATACCCTAAGATTTATGACTATGAAAACTATATAAGTAAGCACTCGAATTTTACGCGGTCATTACGCTCGTCCAAAAAAAAAACTTCAAAAGTGTTTCAACTAGGCCGAACTAATAGCTCAAACAAATCTAAACGAATTAGCCTCAAATTCAAACTGTATTTTTAAAATTACATTAGAATACATTCATTATGGAAGTACTTAAGATCATTTAATTTAATTGCATGTTTTTTTTGGCCATACACAATTATCCGAAGGTGTTTTTTTTTTGGGTGGGAGGGGTGAATATTGTTTTTAAAAAACCTGCAGTTAAAACAAAAATTGATGTCCTCTAAAAAATTCCACGTGTATCTTTAGCCTTTAATTTGGAAAAAAAAATTTTCCCTCACAACTTAAAGATCACAGGTGTTGCGATTTTAGCTGTATATTCTTCAAAAAGAAAGACTTCATCTCGAAGAAAAGCTGCACAGCCGCAATATTGCTTTGTATCATTTTGGAAGTGTTAATTTTACTGTTCACAAAAATGTGCGATGAGAGACATTTTTAAAAATATTGATTTATTCTATTGTTTCATTTAAAAAATCATTATATAGTAGAAAAAAATATTATTACCAAAAAATCTATAGGAAACTGGTATTCAACGAGTTTTTCTAGTAATCCACGCAGTTTCTTTTCAAGCAGTATTACAGGATAAAACTCAGCAAAGAACACATAGACTTCCTTATTAGCCATACCAAGAAGCTGTTAGTATGTTAACTAAGGAGCTTTTAGTAAATATACAAGAAAATCACCTGTAACGTTACTGAGAAACCCTTAGTAGATTCTAAAAATCTTCAATCAAAAAATAGAATAATACTATACAAAACTATTTAATGCATTGATACACATACATACACAGGCTTGTGTGCTCAATTACATGAGTACGACTTATAAGCCCTTGTGAAGTAGAAGAACAGATAGCACAATTTAGAGAACGACAGCACAAAGATGGGAGGTATGACAATTAAATAGCAGGACTGATTCTTCAGAATAATAACTGGCATGCGCCAAACGTGAACGATCTATATTGATAGCAGGGTGAAGCTTTTTTTTCTTCAAATGTGCACCACCTGTGTACAGAAGTTGTTTCTAATTCCATTCTAATGGACAAAAACACACGAGACACTCAAGAATTCATCTTATCTGTGATTTTCTGAAAAGTGAAGATTTTCGCACATATAAAGATTGATCAGCCAGATCTCCAGATTTTAACACTATATAGTAAGCCTAAGACACTCTGGAGAGAACAATTTCAATTCGCAAGCCTCAATACAGCAATAATTGAAAGCTTAAAAACACCCAAGTGTGTCCAACTACCACAGAAACACCTAAAATGTTTTATTTCCTACAAGAAGTCACGGTGTGAGGTCTGTATATCTTTGAAAATAAGATGGGATGACCAATTGATTTCATTCGGTTCACAAAAACAATAAAATATTTACAAGGTTTTAAGCAGAATTGTTACTGATATTAAAACATTTATACTTTGTCTACGGTAAGAACTCTCCCCGTCACACAAAGTCTGAGGCCATCTGCTGCTATGGAAACAAGAATAGCGAAGAAAAAGGTTTCCTTTCTCTCGCCAACCCGACCCAAAACCTGTCCTAAAGAGTGACCCCACACTCCTACTTGAAATAGTTACACTTCGTTACCATAGTTACCGCCACGGGTCCAGACAAATGGCTAGGAGAGTTCTTACTTTAGACAAACTATAGCTTTACAAGACACAATTAAAATCATGAAATACTTCAACTTACTTTGTTAAGCTCCGGTTCAGATGCAAACCCCAAACCATAAACAGTATTAGCTCTAATATCTGACCACTGACCAAATTTCTGTGAGGTTTTTGTGAAAGTCATATTTGGGGTAATAGTACTATTAATGACAGCCTAGAAAGAAAAGAAAATATTTACATATAAATACGTAATAACTACAGGAGTCAAAAAACATTTTCTGGATTGAAATTAGATCATTTATAGGGTGAATAAAAAATTATTACAATAAACTATTGGAGCATAAGTTAAATAAACTATTAATAAATAAACTATCCGATGGTACAAAAAGTGCGAGAAAGGCGAGATTTATTAATATATTTACTTTATTTTTAGAAACGGTGTTGAACAGCCGACCCAATTCTCAGTTCACGACTATCAATATTCAACTCCATAGCCTTGTAATTTTGAACCCAACCCAGAAGATAAAGGAACTCCTGGGTCAAGCAAGACAAACTAGCCTTCGTGGAGAGCTTTTTGATGGAACTAACCCACATTTGCGATACATGGAGATGGAAAATACGAAAACCTCCCATGGTTAATCCATCAACAAGGGTATTCTAAACTATTATCCGTCTACCACTGAGGATATTTTAAATCAGCACTGTGGTCATTGTAATGTTACAGCATTGTAATGATTTACCTCATTTTAAGCCGGGAGCAGAATTCGTATCCCCCAGCCATCGCTGGAATTCGAACCTGGGTCACCTCATTCTGAGGCGAACGCACTATCCCCTGAGCCACCGCAACTCAGGAAAGCAAGATTGAAAATATCCAAACCTGTTTATTTCCGGAGGAAAGAAAGAGGAGTTGAAAGTCGATAATAAGATCAACATGGCAACCAAATTGGTTTTGATATTCTGCCATCCTGTCTTCCTCTCCTCCCAAATTTTCAAAATTCTATGTCGATCATGATTAAATAAGAATATGTGGTGGTCTTTTTTCATAATTGTTCGAATAATTTTTTTTTTAGCATAAGTCCCCTATCTGTTCAACTAAATGAAAACATAACTTATATTTTATTTGTAATTAATAAATATATTACAGAGGGAAAAAGAGCTCTGTGATTGGTTTCCTGCGGTTTTAGAATTATGAGAAGAGTAAAAAATTACGAAAAAAATTTATACTTACAATAAATTTTTATAGTTTGTATAAAGAAGTGAAGTGAAAGATTCCTTTAATTTTTTAAACCAATAAATATAATTCCAATTGGAGCAAACTTAAGAACTCATTATATTTTTTTATGAAAGAGCAATAAAGACTGGTTGCAAGAAAAATATTTATAAATATTTAAAAATATTTATATTCTACGCTCCGAATCGCATAAATTAACTTATTCTAATCATTTTGGCGATTCCTTTCTTCTAATTCTACAATGAATAAAAATAGTCATAGCGCCTAAGCAAAAAAAAATAATAAAAAAAATTTATACTTACGATAAATTTTTATAGTTTGTATAAAGAAGTGGAGTGAAAGATTCTTCTAATTTTTTAAACCAATAAATATAATTCCCATTGGAGTAAACTTAAGTACTCATTATTATATTTTTTATGAAAAAGCAATAAAGACTGGTTGCAGGAAAAATATTTATAAATATTTGAAAATATTTATATTCTACGCTCCGAATCGCATAAATTAACTTATTCTAATCATTTTGGCGATTCCTTTTTTCTAATTCTACAATGAATAAAAATAGTCATAGCTACTGCCTTAGCAAAAAAAAACTGATTTTTTTTCTCTAGAAGTAAGAAACAAAAACTAACAAAAAAAAGCTTTAGAAAACGGGTAGAATGCTAATTATCTGCAATATTTAATCCGATTAAAAGAAAAATTCCATTCAGTTTCCTTTGCTGCATTGCGTAATCTTTAATCTCTTGATAGGGTTAAAGAAAGATTACATTTATTTAAGGATTACAGGGCGTGGCACTATCGGTGAAGTGAAGAAAAATGTTTTAGAACTAAACATCAAAAATGAAACACATCGAGATAAAAAATTGCACTTTAATGTAAGTATACTCTAACATAAATACAGTAATCTTTTTTTCCCTGGCGATGCTCTTATAAAATAGAAATCAAGTATATACTTTTAGAGAAAATTGAATAAATAAAAAACAAATAAATAAATAAATATAAAAATTACATAGCGAGTATACTTCACAAATATAAATACATCCATAAAATGAAGATAATACTTAAACAAGAAATTTCAACATTAATGTTGAACAAATTCGACGAGCCTAAGAAAAACGCTTAATTTATAAATATATGTAACAAAGGCTAATTGAATAATGAGGTTTTTTGCAATCAGCCGCCGTCATTTTGCAATGCACAAAGCCAATTGGAAACGTCTTCAGTATTTTCTAATCAGCCAGACACTTTTTAGGCTTATTGTAAGGACCCACAAAGGCTAATAAAAGCCAAATTCAGTCCATTTGAGTAATTCTTCGCACGTTTCCTAATAAGCTTAAAAGTTTTCAGGCAGAAGAGAAAATACAGACAACCTTTCCAATTAACCAGGAGCATTGGAAAATGCATTTGAAAATGGCTGGATATTTAATTAGCCTAAGAAATTTAAACCGTGTTTCATATTTGCCGTCTCACGTCAGCCCCCAAAAGATGTTTCATATTAACTACCTGATTTTGATAATTTGTAAACTAAACTAAATTAAACAAATTTCGAAGTTAATTGACTTAAAATTAATTTTTACTGAATTATTTTAAACTGGACATTAGAATTAGTTATCTATATAATTATTTAAGTCTAACAAAAAGTTTTTCTTTCAAGAAGTAAGGATAATTCATTTTTAATTTAAGAATTTTTCTATTATTATAATTTGAGTATGTTTGTTACAGGTAATTAATGGTACATATATTTCCTAAGAAATAAGGACTGGCTTCATTTAATTTCTTTAAAAATTTGGGTCGTTTTTACGACGCGTTTTATAATGGCCGTATTATTTCAAATAGTCCTGATTGACCCTACTAAGTTGTCTAGCATTATATTTTATAACGAAATAATATAATAGTGTAAATATATAACGGTTTAGTAAAGTCTTTAAAAAAAAAAAAAGATAGTAACCGACATTTTTTGTTCTATCGAAATTGAATTATGGGCAAATTTGGTTATCTCAAATCACGTAATTTCATCTGACAAACCGACGAACAAATACCGATAAAGCTAAGAACTAAAGCGCAACTTAAAACCCTTTTTTTATTACGCATAAAAGAAAACAATTTTAAAAGTTCTTAGTTGACTTTTCTCTTACATTTAAAAATATTTATTACCTTCTTTTTCCGAAAAAAAAAGTCATATATTTTAAAGTAATAAAATCAAGTGAAAAAAAAGCAATATTAAATATAATCCTCACTGCCCAAAAAATAAAGATAGAAGAAGAGAGATGTTTCCATGTTTGACTTCAAATACGAAGCGATCGGCTGGTGCCATAGCAAGGGAAGTCCCAATTCACACTTTACGTAATGGTGCAAAAGCAAAGTAAGTCTTGATTCACAGTTTATGTAATTTTTTGTTGGTGCAACAGCAAGGTAAGTCCAGGTTCTCAGTTTATGTAATTTTTTTTTATCATACTAATTACCAAACACGGACTCTTGTATAATTTGAGACCGGTTCTTGCACTAATCGAAACAGCTCTATTCTGCACAGTTACATACAGGGTGTCCCAAAAGGTCGTTTACAAACTTAACATGCTGGTCTGTCATATCATGATGAACAAGATTTACATAGGAACTTGCGTCCGAAAATTAAAACTGCGACCGCTAGAGGGCGATAATTGCACGAAAACGGGAGAGTGGGAAAAACAATCATTTCAGGCGTGGACGTTGAAGGAGAAGGATGAATGAGTTTAGTAACGCAGAAATGGCCGACATGCATTACATATACGGCGCCGCTGATGGAAATGGACGAGCCGCGGCACGGACGTACCTTGAGCGCTTCCCAAACAGACGTCAGCCAAGTCATGTTTTGTTTGGACGATTGCACCGCAGATTATGTGAATCAGGTGCTTTCGTAGCACGTAGCCACATCGGTCGAGAACGTGCTACACGCACACCTGTCGTAGAGGAAACCGTGCTACAGGAGTATGCCATCAACCCGCAAAGAAGTCTCCGAGAAGGCGAACGTGTCTTGGGTGTAGCTCGTTCCACCATAATGCGCATACTGCACGATGACATGCAACACCCTTACCACTTCCAAAAAGTACAGGCATTGTGCGCTGACGATTATCCCAAACGCATTGCATTCTCACGCTGGTATTTGCAACAGCGGGTCGCACAGCCAGATTTTCCATCATGGATTTTGTTTTCTGATGAATCCTGCTTTACACGGGATGGTGTCGTGAACCTGCACAACATGCACGTATGGGCGCATGAAAACCCAAGATGTACACGTGCCCATGCACATCAACAACGTTTCAGCGTAAACGTTTGGGCTGGTATTATCGGTGACATGTTGATTGGCCCTTACCTTCTACCTGAACGCCTCGACGGAAATACCTATCGCATTTTTTTAGAAAGAGTTTTGCCGGATCTGATGGGTGACGTTCCAGCCGCTACACGCCGAAACATCTGGTTTCAGCATGATGGAGCGCCTGCCCACTTTAGCTACGCTGTTCGAGAATACCTCGATAGGATTTATCCTAATCACTGGATCGGTAGAGGCGGACCAGTCCCATGGCCGCCGCGATCCCCCGACCTGACTCCCCTGGATTTCTACCTGTGGGGACACATGAAGTCCATAGTGTACGAGACACCTGTAACATCGGACATGGATCTTATCGCCAGGATCGCGGAAGCGGCAGCACGTGTCCGTGACACTCCTGGCCAATTTGAACGGGCTCTTGAATCTATGCGCCGACGCTGTGAAACGTGCATTGTGGCGAATGGAAGGAGTTTTGAGCATTTGCTATGATGTAATGATGTTTTATAATAAAAATCACATTAACACCGCTATCGATATCATTTTTTTTCTCCTCATCCAAACATGCACTTATTGCCCTCTAGCGGTCTCAGTTTTAATTTTCGGACACAAGTTCGTATGTAAATCTTGTTCATCATGATATGACAGACCAGCATGTTAAGTTTGTAAACGACCTTTTGGGACACCCTGTATAATTAAAAAGTATTTGAAAAATTTGGATAAACTTGCTTCTTGCACTACGTTCCGAAATTTTACATTAAAATTTTTCTTAAAAATTTAATTTCATTTATAAGTAATCATTTTAAAGCCTTTCCAAAAGAAAGGAATTTGTCTTTTTCTCATTTTTTTTCACCTTGACCCAGAAAGTTGGTTTAATAATACTACAAGAAATTATGGCCGAAATATTGATCCAAGCTGAGTTGAGAAAGTTTTATCATGAGAATTCTAAAATATTTGAAAAGTACAAAACTTATTATCATTTAATCTCCAGTACTCAAAGCTATAGAAAAAGTTTTTTTTAAATTTTAAATTTCGACTTCACATAATATAGGGGTTGTCAAAGCGAGTACCATAGCACTCTGGAGTGACGAGGAATAAGGTTAGGGGTACCACGAATTATCTACGATTCTTTGTCTAATAATAATCCTTTAACAACAATCTGGTACTATTTAAAAAGAAAAATTTACAAGGTTAAAGGAGTTAAGAAAATATGCAAGATAGGTTATTCTGTCATATGCTATATGAAAAAGCTATGAGGGTTCGTATTCCCTTTACTACTCAATACTGTGTGAAGCTGGTATTTCAGCTGTTGCTGTTCTAAAGAGAAGCTAACGTTCGAAAATTAATACCTAAAAATAAATGCGAAAACTAAATGAAGCGTTTTAAAAAGTTATGTCTTAAGCCAACATGCAGCATTCGTGGCAGAGTGGCACGCACAGACTTGATACATTTTGAAAAATAATTGAATTTGAAGGTCGAAAATGAATGTTAAAAGTCACATTAAGAACTGATTATATAATAGTTATTTAAAATCAAATGTTTCAAACCATCTTTTTTATATACATAAACTAACGTGTTACAAATAAAAAATTTAAAAAAAAACTTTTACAAAATTTACAACAAAAGAAAAACATAATGAACCTACAAATAGCATTTTTCCACTTTTTAGTATGATGGAAAAGTTGGAATTGGAATGCTTAACACGATTTTTCGAAGATCTTTAACCAATGAAAATAAATAAAACACCATTTAAGTGCCTTGCACTTGAGGTAAAGCTATAATTATAAACTAAATATACCATCTTGCCATGTAGAATTATCTAGGTTGTAGAACGGAAAAATAACTTAAATAATTTAAAAGTTAATAAACTTTTTTAAAAATCACCAATTGGGCGACGTTTTCCCACCTAGATGAAATTTATCAAAATCACTATCTTAACTCAAATTTTGCACATTTTTATGAGCCTACATCATGGGTCGCCAAACTGTTTTGATCATCGACCCCTATATTATTTTTTGAAATCTTCATCGACCCCATAAAAGTAATTTTCTGTTAATTAAAATAAAACTCCATTAGATACTGTATTTGTACACATGTGAAAGCAGAAATGCAGAGTTCGTGCTAATACGTGCTGGTACGGAAATACTTGTTTCACCCGAATAAATATACGTTTATTAATTTATGTTCTATAAAGAAACTGATATTAAGTCAATTTAAAAAAAAATTCACTTTTACATACTCACTTTTACATAATTAGGTATGTGTGATTTGCATATTAAGAACTGCTTTTTCTTTGATCCCCAATCGGCCCTTCCGATTCGGATCGACTCCCATTCGACCCCCTAGCTCAGATCGATCCCCGCTTTTGTTAAATAGACTCCTGGGGGTCTATATAGACCACTTTGGCAACCTTTGGCCTACATAATGCAGTATTGCAGTAAGTTTTTAAATATTAAAAAGTTAGACAATAAACGCTTTTCATTTATCAAGTAATTATGGCTTTTCTCCAGAATGTCTTTTTGCGCCATTTTCAAAATAAGACTAGAGAGCGCTGGCTATATATAGGCTAAGTTTAAACTAACAGTCATGAGTAACTGATGCTAACTCACAGCAGTTATGAAAATAGCATATTATTCGCAAAAAAGCATCAATTCACATAACGATGGAGCCTTCGAAAAATTGCCTTTAATTTTTTCATTTTGATAGTGCACTCTTTTTAAACAAATTTTTCCATACTCGCACCAAACAAATTTACAATATTCGGAGTGCGGATGGTATACATTTGTACTTTACATACACTTTCCCTCATCGTACATATTCATAATATCTTATATATTGCTTATAATGCCTTTTCATTGCTTACAATTATACTCACTACTTACTTAAGTAGTTTCTGTTTTACAATCTTAACCATAACATACCTTTATTACATGCATATAAATAACAAATATTATAGCACACACTACTAGTATATGATAGTTACCGGGAGACATTTTTAAATGTTGTAAGGGTACCACAATTTAGAAATCACTGACATAATGCATATAAATAAATTTAGAGTAGCTTAAAATCAAATGTTTTAAACTCTTTTTAAATACCTTTGATCCTTCAACGCTGATTATTCTGTAAAAATTTCGTGTAGAATCGAAGAAAAATCCAACGTTGACTGCTTGCGAACTGGCTGGAACCCACGACCTTTTAGTCTTTGGATCAATGTGGAAGACATGGGCTTTTGTAGTAAATATGGGTAGCTCCCTATAAAAAGAAAAAAGTATAAATATAATTCACTTATTGGAGCCTCAAATCAATTAAATGGTCAAAAAATTTAAAAATTTTAAAAAACTGATACGGTGTAAAGATTGAAGTGAGACGCGTAAAATTGTGACAAAAAAAAGCATTTCTTAAAGAACAGTTTTTAAAATTAATAGCCTTGGAATTGGTGTTTTATCACACATAGTAAATAAGACCCAAAGCAATATTATTGTATTCCATAGTTAGGCATTACACTTTAACAGAATACGTGCAATCTAGTAGTAAGGGGCAAAAGACTAGTTAGTTATTTTGTAAATGCACTGTAAAAAATTCCGGATCAAATTACTGCAAAAAGAACAGGCAACCTGGGTGCAGAATCCGTAAAATCCATTTTTAGTGTAACATTTTATAACCTAATTTTTAGAGTAATATTTAAATTTACTGTTAATATTACTATTATGATTTTACAGTTAATATTACTATATAATATTAGATTTTTTTGTACCGGAAAATTTTACGTTAAAAATGGATGTAAAGGTAAAAATTACCGGTACCCTGAGTGCCGGTACATTTTACAGTAATTTGATTCGGCATCTTTGCAGTGTGGTCGGTCCTTTTTAAGACAAAAGATTTAAAACTATGACTATTTTGAGGTGTTTATACAAAAAGTAATTCGTAATAACCACTCTACACATAGATTTTTAAAATCCTTTTTAAAAAATATACACATTTCAATGAGGAAAAAACAAAAAAACGACATATAGCAAACTACTTAGAACGATTGCACTAAAAACATCAAAACCATTTTGATTCTCGGAAGAGAGCAGTTTAAAGTCAAATATTGGTCAAATAAATTAACATTCAAGTTTCATCAAATAGTATAACTTTTTTCCACACTTAGTATACTTACACTGATTTACGACACCAAATGAGAATCTTTTTATAAAAAATTTCTAAAATTATGCATTAAATGGAGTTATTACCAAACAGTCTGTATAAAAACAGCTCTTTAAAAACTATCCACATTTAAAAATTTTAAAGCATACTCTAAGATTTTACAATTTCTTGATTAGTTCACCTGACATTAAAGTTTTCGGGGCACTCAAAAGTAAATAATGTATAATAAATAGTTTAAAAACACAAACATGAAATTACATTTCTCAAAATTGTAATTTCATACATCTTTATAAGTGCAGCATATTTTTGAATGAACCATTACCTAGCCATTACCACTACTTTTACATTATTATTAGATATTTATATTATTAAAAGATACAAAATTTTAATTTTTATCCTAAAATGCCACCTTAACTTATTAGTGTGATACGTATTGCATAAGTAGTGATATGCATTTCAATTGCTATCGAACTAATCAAAGCTAAGGACACGTAATGGTTATTCCTGATATAAATATTACCAAGGTCTGAAACCATTTCAACCTCTTATAAGTGAGAAAGAGAGCAGCTAAAACATAGCGAAATAATGTGCATCTTTTACAAATAATTCAATAAGCTCAACTTAAATTCATTTAATATTTATAATACAAATTTATAGAAATACGCAATAATCACTCATGCAATGAATCCATATGAAAATAAAATAGTTTACTATTTTAAAACAGAGTTACGAATAATAAATTAGATTAGTTTTAATTTGCTACAGCGTTAAAATGGGAAGTTGCACGATGGGGCAAATTTTGAAGCATCAAAGAGCATTAAACCAAATTTCCAACTTATTCAATATGTTAAATGTTTAATCAATTTTAGACTGCAGTTTAAACTGCAGAACATGCGAAAGTCATTATGCAGAGTAAGCATTGAGTTCATTTGTATTAAATGGACAGGTGAATATGAAATTTATGTACAGTGAAATTTCAAGGAAGCGACCACTCTCTCTGTTCTAAGGTAAAATGGTCGTTAATGGAGGTTGGTCATTCTTAAGGGTTACCCTCATTGACTTCAAAATGTTATCGAAGGTACATGATTTTTCGCAAGCAATTTTAATTTTTCCCGGTTTCATTTTCTTGGTGCGGAAATGTCACTTCTGTTGGCGTCACGAAAACCGGATCGATAAACAAAATTTATCGTCGGTAAAAAAGACCTTAAATTATGTGCAAAAACAAATTTACCATTTATGAATAATAGAACTATTTTAAATAAATAAACAATTACGGTTTTTGTTCAAATTTGCATTTCATTTTACATCATAAGAATTAGTTAGTTTTAAAAAATGAAAAGAGGTTTGCTTGCTTGAGATGCTTACTTTTTTCTAAAATAACTTTTTTTCTAATTAATTAACTTTCAAATCTAAAAATAAATCATTGATAGCAGTCTGTCATTCATGAAGTTGTCATTCTCTTTCAGAAATCGTCAAAAAGATCTTTTTCAAATTATTTCGAATACATATCAATCTACTTATTTGTATTGTTAATATTCTTAGTTTTGATATTTTTTCGTGTTTCCTTATTTGACCTTCTACGCATTTCGTGCAGAGAATTAATTGCCCGGTAGCTGGGGGAGGTTTTGATGGTCTCTCCAAAAGATTTTCCTCAACACTAAGTCAATGGAAAAAATTCCGTGCCACCCAAAAGTGGCTACAAATAGAGGAGGTCACTACACAGAGGTGGTCTTTCCTGGAGGTGTCACTGTAGTTCATAACTCCTGTTGCTAAGTTATAAAGCACCAAGAGGTAAACACAAAATTCCTAACATATATAATAACCATGAAAGTTAAAATTAAATTAATTCATGCATTGATTCAGATAAGTTAATTTTAATCACTAGATCAAGATCAATAACAATAATAAAAATGACATTAACAAATTCTACGTATTTTCCGAGTAGTATATAAACACTCTAATCTTTTTTTTAAAATAATTAATAAATATTAAATAATAAATGAATTTCTTAAATAATTACTCAAATTTGGTTTCTGTTCGGTTCTGATTAGAATTGTGCAGATAAATTTTAAATTTTATAACATTTTTTTTCAATTTTACATAACATACATTTACATTTACCAGTACATTTATGTGTCTTGAATAGCTGATTCAAATTAATTGATGCAGTGATTCAAATATATTAATTTTAAACATTAGATAAATAACAATAATAAAATGACATTATGTATGACAATGACATTATATATTCTCCAGGTAGTATGTAAACACTAATAATTATTAGTGATCAATATCAAAAATAAAAATGACATTATCAAATTTTATGTATTTTCCGAGTAGTATAAACACTAATATTGTTTTAATGTTTTTTAAATAATTAATAAAGTAATATTAAAAAATTAATTATTTTCAGATAATTAAATAACTACTCAAATTTGATTTGTGTTCATTCTATTCATTTAAAGTAATCAATAAATTAATATTAAATAATTAATAATTTAAGGAAATTTTATATTATTTAATTTTATTGTTTTAATTACATAGCATCATTAATTTCAATTCAAAGCATTTCTTAAAGAAAACATTAAGAATTTAATGTCATTTAAATATGTTTGGATAAAAAGCAGTTCTTTAATATGAATAACATAGAATCAAGTAAATCGAATCTTGATTCAATTCAAATCATCCGATTAACTTTCAAGAGGATTACTCGAATCACAGAATTAATTCAGTAATTGCACTTCAGTTAAATAGATTAAAAAAAGTGTTAAACAAAACCTCCACCATAAAATAGTTTAGCATGAAAAAATACATACATTTACAGAAGTACGCAACATCGTAAACAATATTTCAACAGTTTGCTGATAAACTGAAATGCGAGATTCGAGAAATATATTCTATTGGCAATATTCAAGTTATAAGATGCAAACTTTACAAAAAAAAAATTCAACTCTTGCAGTTATTTTATACGACAACCAAGCATAAATCATCAAAAGCGACGTACCAAAAAAAAAAAAAAAAAAAAAAAAAAAAAAAAAAAAAAAAAAAAAAAANAAAAAAAAAAAAAAAAAGAGCTATGGTGGTCCGAGGAAAATGCTGATTGATGCCCTGGATTCATGCTCTCATATTATTTGCTAGCAGTTAAAAAGAAAATTTAAATCGATAAGAATATATAATTTGAACGATTCGAAAGATGACAGGAAAAAAATCAGCTTTCGAGTCGAAATTATAAGCTATTCTATGGATTAAAACAGTTTCAGATATTCGAGTAAATATATAATCCTGTCTTCATCTCTTGGCTCGGAGCTTTTTTAAAAATGCATTAAAGAGAGGTAGCCAAACACAAACAATAACAAAAAAACAAATAAATAATTTTTTTAAATAATAACACTAAAAAATATGAGGTTCCTCATCAGAATGTTTTAATAATTAGTAACATTTGCATACATAAAAGTTAGTAATTGTTAAAGATAGGAACTACCTTTGTACAGTACATAAATAAGGAAAGTATATATATAATTCTTTTTAATAAATTTTCTTTTTTGCATTTTTTTTCTTCATCTTAATGTAGAGATGTCTTTCGTGAAAAATGATCCATTCAAAACTTCGGAATCATTTTTCGAGAAAGTTCATAAAATTATTTTGATTAAAACTTGACAAATTTTATTTCAAAAGTTGTTAAAACAGTATGATAAAATTTATCTCATAAGACATAAATGTTTCGCATTTCCATATTTAAAGCATCATCAGTGTTCTGAAAGCATCATCAGTGTTCTCTTTTCACAGTTAACAAACAGTTTTTCATATATATTTTTCCTTACATGCTTATGAGCAAAAAAACTATTTTTTTTAATGATTTTACATGATCTTTAAAGACAGTACCTGATCATCTGGTAGTTGATGGTGCAATAAAATTATAAATTTTGCAATTTGAAATTGAAATTTTTGTAATTTGAAATTTTTATAATTTGCAATTATAATTTTTTTTAAATGTTTAAATAAATGAAAAATTATTTCTATAAGATTTAAATTCTCTTAAGAAACAGTAAAATGATCAAAAAGCGTAAAGAAAGAGTGTAACATTTTAAAACTACATTTAATTTCTT